GCATAGACAGTGTGGTGTCATCCATACAGTATGTCCCGTCTTTCACGCTCATCTTTCACTATGCTCACGCACATGCGTAGGACTTGAAGCCCGAAAACGTGCTTATTTGTATAGATGATGTGGAAGCTGTGGTGCAGGTACGTCGTCCGAAGACCGACTCCGAGGTCTTACTAACCGAACCTGCCTTAGGCCGAACTTGAATCTGCACAGAACACCCAGGCGCCGACCAAGATCGTGGGAGTGCCCCCCTCGCGTGGACGGGGAGGCAACCAGACCCCTCGCTCCGAATCAATATTCATCACTGGCTCCCAGCCCCTCCCATCACCTTCGTCTAGTTTCGGCACAAGTCCAGCGTTCGACAAATGGGCATTTGGCATGTCACGCATCAACGTGGACGACGAACAGGACGCCGCTAATGGCACACGATCTAAATCCGAAGCGAATACGGAGAGCGTCGAGCGCGCCATGGGCGACGTTCGTGTGCACGACTCACCCGGGCCTGCACCAACACCTGCACCTACGACCACGACCAAGCCGACGACCGCGGCCGGTCCGAGTCTGCTAACGCGCAATGCTCCCGCAGACCCACATAGCCAGCAACCTACACCGAGCAGCAGTAACGTGAGCAACGGCAAGAGCACGAGCTCTCCCTCGCCGCAGAGCACAGGCGCGGTCAGGACGGAGGTCGTTGCTGCCAGTGATCCTTCTCCCGCTTCTCCCTTGCCTCGTCAGGCTACAGCGAGTACGTCGTCCCTAGATGCGGCCGCGATGAGCGAACGCATCACTGTCAAGATTGCGGACCTGGGTAACGCGTGTTGGACGGACCATCATTTCACCGACGACATCCAGACACGGCAGTACAGGTGTCCTGAAGTAATATTGGGCGCCAAGTGGGGCACGAGTGCTGATGTGTGGAGTGCAGCGTGTGTGGTAAGTTGGTTTACGCTGTCTGAGTTTGTTCGAGAAGTTGACAGTAGAACTAGATATTTGAGCTCTTGACCGGCGGAGATTACCTTTTCGATCCCCAGGCTGGGACCAAGTACAGCAAGGACGATGACCATATTGCTCAGATTATTGAATTGCTGGGCGAGTTCCCCAAGTCCCTTGCGTTCTCTGGCAAGTACAGCGGCGAGTTCTTCAACCGAAAAGGTAAGATACCCGCCCATCTAATTCGCTGCCAAGCTCACACCTTTCAGGCGAGCTTCGACATATCCACAAGCTCAGGTTTTGGCCCGTCGAGTCGGTGCTGCACGACAAGTACCTGCTCCCGCGCGCCGACGCCGAGCTGATTGGGTCGTTCCTTACACCCATGATGCGCCTGAATCCCGAGAAGCGTGCACGTGCGGCCGACATGGTGAACCACGCCTGGCTCGACGGGATCGTCGTTCAGGGCGAGATCGACCTGATCTTGGCGGCCGAGGCTGCGGAGCGTAAGGAACGTGGTCGCTCGGGTTCGCGCGTTCTCGGCCGCGGTACACCCTCTGGTTCCAAGTCGAAATCGGGTAGCAAGGGTGGTTCGCAGCCGAGGCGGCCGAGTGGACCACGAGACCCGATAACTAGCGTACAGGCAATGAACGAGGCCTCTGCGATAGACGCTATGCGACCTGTGGACGAAGCCGAGATACTCGGTGGGAAGATATAAGGCGCGTGTTAGTGGTAGTGCTTAGATTTCTTGTCGCTTGAACTCTGGGTTATATTTTTTTTTGCCTGCATATGCAACACCTGTCTACGTACATACACACATCTCTCTCGCTGCCTTAGTCTATGTCCTGTTTGGTTATGCTGCTGGTTCTCTTTGTTCATTTTTTGTTCATTTTTTGTTTGACTGTGGCCGTTGATACAGGTCGTGGTCGTCGTTGCACGGTGGGGTTGGTGAATGCTATATCTTAGTCGTGTGGATTGAATACAGCAATGGCGGATACACGCAGACGCGGGAGAATAAACATTACAAGCGAGATCGTAAATAATGCGGAGAAACAAAAATGCATGCGAAGGTTACAATACTCGAAATCCAGAAATCCGAAAAGGGCATCCAGTGTACTGGTTTGGTCGTGAGGGTATCCGGGAGACAAACGTTCGTGTTGTCTTTTGTGTTCACTGCAACGGCTCAAAGGAAACTGGGCTCCTGTACGAAGATGCCATGTCTGTGATATCCATTTCAGGTTGCGTGTAGTTGGCCAGTTCGGCCCTTTCTCGCTCAGTTAACCGGCGAGGACGGGCCGTGCCCGAGGAGGGTGGTGGCGAAGAAGAAGGTGACCAAGGTGTGCTCGGCGCATACGACGATCGGGGAGAGGTAGACGAGCCCGAAGATGAAGCAGACGACATGCTGCTCACGGACGCCGTGTGTCTGTGCCCACGCCGAGGTTGAGATTCTGGAAGGAGAAAGGCACTCGACGTGCGGGTATGGCTGGGCCGCTGCAAGTCGCACGGTGTCAGTGTTATGCAACTTTCCGATAGAATAATGAAATACGTACGCGACCCATATTTTCGCTCACCCTAGGGGCATCCTGGGAAGTAGCAGGCGGCGAGTACAAGATGTTCTTGAACGCAGAGAAGTCGTTAAACGTGAGCGAGAAGCCCTTGACGGTAGCGAGCGACGCAGACGGGCGGGACATTATTTGGGCCGGAGGAGTAGAGGAGTGGGGCAAAACTGGATTTCTGCGGCTTGCACCGGAGTATGATATAGGGGGTGCAACGCCATTGTCATGCGGGAGGAAGGAGTCGCGGACGCGTGGGGGTGTCGAGGCGCCATCAATCAAAAGCTGAGACTCATTGTCCTTTGTTATGACTTGTGAGTGTTGTTTGGCGGGCGTTGTAGGGGTGTATGCGTGCGGTTGACGCCAGCAACGTGCGCATACACTCTGCGCTTCCTTTCTGGCAGTGGTCGCCATACCGAGCCTGCTGGGGCGACTCCAGAATTGCGCAAGTCTGGTCAGTTGGGAGTGGATAAAGTGGCAGTGACCGGCGCTTGCCAAAGCGCCGAGCCGGTATTTCATGATGATTTGGTCGCACAGACCAGCAAGTCGAGGGGCTTGGGAGCAGACAACGGCTCACAATTTGTTCGAAATACGGAGCGTCGCAATCTTGCTCTCAACTACCACCAGCTTTTACCCCCCGTAAGAGCACAACCCGCAACCCAGCTCGTTTTCCGCACTCAAATCGACACATAAACTCGTACAATGGCTCGTACCAAGGTCAGTATCCGTCCTACGCATAATTCTGGCCACACCTAGTGCTACGCTCGTCGTCGCTACGGTCGTGGCTTGCGTCGTCATCGTCATGATCGTTTAAACTGACTTTATCATCCATTTGTTTCCGGTAACCGTACATCCGGTCGATCCTGCATCGCGCTCACACCCGCCACGTCACTCCGCCCTGATCCGCCATCGATCCCGCCGCCGACCCGACACCGCCACACAAACCCCGCCCTTCCAAATTTGGAAATAACCAAACATTCGCCGACGC